CTGCGGCCTGAGCCTCTATTTCTGCCTTCTTATGTGCGACCTGAGCCTCCATTTCTGCTTTCTTATATGTGTCCTGAGCCTCTATTTCTGCCTTCTTATGTGCGACCTGAGCCTCCATTTCTGTTTTCTTATATGCGGCCTGAGCCTCTATTTCTGTGGCCTGAGCCTCTCTTTCTGCTTTCTGATGTGTGGCCTGAGCCTCCATTTCTGCTTTTTTTTGGGCGAAAGCTGCCTGAATTTTAGAAGCTTCAGCATCAGCACAGGCTTTTATTAGTTGTTGACGGAGTGTAGAAGACCTTTAAGGGCTTGTTCACACTTGGCTGTTTTACCAACGCTTGCCAAACGCCCCTATAGCGTTTTGCAAGTGTTGGTCCGGCGTTTGCGGAGCGTTTTTTAACGCTCGGCAAACGCTCCGCAAACGCCGCATGCGCGGTTTAGTGGCGGTTGCTAGGCATTTGCCGAGCGTTAATAACGCCCCACAAACGCCTATAATACAGTAGAGTGATGTTACCGCTCTGCAAACGCCCCGCAACCGCACCGCAAACGCCGACTGGGCGTTTGCGGAGCGGCACCATAGACGAGAATAGGAGGCTTCAAAGCCTCCTGACTTGACCAGAGGCACCCGTTTTGCCGCGACGCAACGCGAAGCGACGCAAACGCTCCCGTTAGAACAGCACCATGTGCTGTAATGTGCAGAATTGGCAGAGGAGTTTGGGAAGCGGTAAAAACGCTTCCCAAACGCCTCTCTGCCGCCTGCACACAAGGCTAGTGTGAACGTAGCCTAATTGTATGGATTTGGACAATCTTGAGGAGCGTCTAGTAGATGCAGAGCGATAAGATCTGGATTCATGGAGCTGTGTTATTCTCACTTCTGCCTTTGTCTTTTGTTCGTCCGACTAAATTGTCTCTTTCAAGATTGAGCTCCTCAAAACTCATTCATTCTTCCAATGACCTTTTGAGTGTTGTACCGCTTTAATAGAGCAATATATTTAACACACAGTCTTTGATAATTCTCATAAGTAACATTCAATTGCTGGATAGCGCCCTCTAGTTGTATTGGCTCATGAGATTGTTGGGAGAGAGAATACATGCATTTAACAGTATTACACCATAAGTCATTAATATTAGACATCAATTCTCTTTTGTCAGCGTTAAGATTTTCTTGCACTTTCCAGGTTGGATTTCTTAAGTGTTTTTTCTCTTTTATCCAAGTCCTGCTCTGGATGAATTGTGGTTGTGTATTAGTTTCCCCAGACTGTATATTACTTTCCTGAAACATCATGTTAGCAAGGAGAGGGGTTGATAGAAAGTTTACAGAGAGAAATGTTTCACTTTTTCTGTGGGTGAGCTCAATGGATGCAGAAAGGTTTTCTTGTTCTTTCTTATAAGTTCACAGGCATTCCATGTTATAATGTATACAGATGCAGTGTATAAACTTGCAGTTGTAAAACATTCACATCAATAATTTGTCCTGACACTGATCAGTGTTATGCTGGGATATACTTGGAGGCATGTACAGACTTGTGAAGAGGTGGCTGCACTCTCTATAGCTGTTATATTCAGTATCCATGTAACATCTCACTGTGTATACTAGCTAGCAAGGATTCTTATGAAGCATTCCAATGATCTTTTGACTGCTCTGTCTCTCCAATCTAGGCATTGATAGTGTGATCTCTGTAACTTACAGTTGTGATGAGATAGCGAAAACTTCAACCTCAGTTGGATACCACAGTCAGTGACTCAATCGATAAGACATCTTGTGAGTTTATTCCATGAACTGAGAGAATCTTACAACAATGAACATTCGATAGGTCAAAAGATCATAATGTTTCCTGTTCCATGCCATGAGGCTTGCTGCAATGCATTTATGGGAAAGGGGGAGGGCTATCTATACAGCATTAATTAAACCAAAGGAAAGGGAGGAGCAGAAACAAAACATAGAAACTCTTAAAGGCATATGACAGTCAATATGACAGTCATGTGAAACATGACACTACCAACTACCCCCTTCATTTACCCTGCTCCTTAAGTGCCTGCTATCTTACCAACTACCACCTCTTTGAGTCCTTCACTATGTGCCTGGTATCTTGTCAACTACCCCCTCCTTGTAATTTGCCATTGTGTGTTTGCTATCCTACCAACTACCCCTCCATGGACCCCGCCCCTGTGTGCTTGCTATCTAACCAACTATCCCTTCCCATACCCTACCACTGTATGCCTGCCATCTTATCAACCACCACCTCATTGTATCTTGCAACTGTGTGCTTTCTATCCTATCAACTACCCCCTCTATTTACTCAGCCCTTACGTTTCTACTATTTTACCAACTATTCCCTCCTAGAGTCCTGCACTATGTGCCTGCTATTCCAGTAACTACCCCTCCTTTTCACTTGCAATTTTGTGCCTGCTATACTATCAACTACTCCACACTGTACCATGCCACTGTGTGCCTGCTATCTTATCAACCACCCCTTCTTTGTACCCTGCCCCCCAAGTGATTGCTATCTTATCAACTACCCCTCCTTGTATCTTCCAATTGTATGCCTGCTATCCTACTAACTACCCCCCTCCCTGTACTCTTCTCCTGTGTGCTTGCTACTTTTTCAACTAACCTCTCCTTGTACGTTTCAACTGTGTGTCTGTTATCCTACCAACTACCCCCACCTGAGCCCTGCACCAGGTGCCTACTATCCTAGCAACTACCCCTCCTTATCACTGGCAATTGTGTGCCAGCTATCCTAACAACTACCCCTATCTTGTACTCTGCTCCCAAGTGCTTGTTATCCTATCAACTACCCCCTAGCTAAGCCCTGCACTATGTGCCTGCTATCCTATCAACTACACCCTCATTGTATCTTACAACTGTGTGCTTGCTATCCTACTGACTACACACTGCCTTTACTCCTCCCCTGTGTGCCTGCTACCTTTCCAACTAACTCCTCCTTGCAGTTTGCTACTTTGTGCCTGCTATCCTATTAACTACCCTCGCTTTATGCCCTGAGTGCCTAATGTCCTACACCCCCCCCCCTCATTTGACCGTGCCCCTGAGTGCCTGCTATCCTACTGACTACTCCTTTTTGGAGTTCTTCACGATGTGCCTGCTATATTATCAACTACCCCTTCTTGTACTTTGCCACTGTGTGCTTGCTATCCTACCAACTTCCCCACGGTGTAACCTACCTTTGTGTGTTTGCTATCCTACCAACTACCCCTCCCGTTACCCTACCACTGTGTGCCTGCTATCTTATCAACCACCAACCTCCTTGTATCTTGCAATTGTGTGCTTCTGTTCTACCAACTACCCCCTATATTTATCCTGCCCTTAAGTGCCTGCTATCCTACCAACTATACCCTCCTACAGTAATGCACTGTGCCAGCTATCTTAGCAACTACCTCTCCTTTTTACTTGCAATTTTGTGCCTGCTATCCTACAAAGGACCCCCTGCATTGACCCAGTCCCTGAGTGCCTGCTACCCTACCAACTACCCCCTCCTTGTACCCTGCCCTGGGTGCTTGCTTTCATACCAGTTACCAACTACCCTCTCCTTGTATCTTGCAACTGTGTTCCTGCTATCCTACTAATCACCCACTCTATCTACTCTCCCCCTGCGTGCCTGCTACCTTTCAAACTACCCCCTCTTTGTACACTGTCACTTTGTGCCTGCTGTCATGCCAACTACCTCTCCTTGTACCATGACACCGTGTGACTGCTGTCCTGCCAAGTACTTGACCCTGTGCCATGCCACTGTGTGGCTTCTATCCTTCCAAACACCCCCTCCTTGTACCATGCCACTGTTTGTCTGCCACACACCCTACCCCTACCCCTCTACATACCCTAATGCTGTGTGCCTGCTATCCTATCAACTACCCCCCCCCCCCCTTAAGAGCACTGCATGTGACTGCTATCTTAGCAACTAGCCCCTCTTTCTACTTTGCCACCTGTGTGTTTGCTATCCTACCAACTGCTCCCTCCATGAGCCCTGCACTATGAGCCTGCTATCTTATTAACTGCCCCCTCCTTTTACCATTCCACTGTGTGCCTGCTATCCTACCAAATAGCCCCTATCTTTTCCCTTTGTGCCTGCTATCCTTTCAACTACCCCTCTCTGTATGTTACCACTGTGTGCCTGCTATCCTACCAGCTTCCTGCTCCCTGTACTCTGCCCCTATGTGCCTACTATTCTATGAGCTACCTCCTCCTTGTACCCTACCACTATGTGCCTGATATCCTACCAGCTTCCCACTCCCTGTACTCTGCCCCTTTGTGCCTACTATTCAATCAGCTACCTCCTCCTTGTACCCTACCACTGTGTGCCTGCCATCCTACCAGCTTCCCACTCCCTCTACTCTGCCCCTATGTGCTGGCTATTCAACCAGCTTCCCCCTCCCTGTACCATGCTTCTTGTGCATGTTATCCTTCCAACTAACTTATCCTTGTGCCCTTCAACTTTGTGCCTTCTATCCTACCAACTACCCCCTCCCCTTTCTTTTGTGTCTGCTATCCTACCAACTACCCACCCCCTGTACTCAACCCCTCTGTGCCTGCTATCCTTCCAACTATGCTAGCCTTGTACCTTGCGACTGCGTGCCTGCAATCCTACCAACTACCCCTCTCTGTGCCCTGGCAAATTGTGACTGTTACAAAGTCTCTAGTTAACCACTTGCCTACCGGGCACTTTTACCCCCCTTCCTGCCCAGGCCAATTTTCAGCTTTCAGCGCTGTTGCACTTGGAATGACAATTGCGCGGTCATGCAACACTGTACCCATATGAAATTTGTATCATTGATTTCACACAAATAAAGTCTTCTTTTGGTGGTATATAATCGCCACTGGGTGTTTTATTTTTGCACTATATACAAAAAAAGAGCAAAAAATAAAAAAAAAAAAAAGTGTTTCTTTGTTTCCATTACAAAATCTTGCAAACAGGTTATTTTTTTTCTCCTTCACTGATGTGCATTGATGAGGCTGCACTGATAGGCAGCACTGATGGGCAGCACTGATGGGTCCTGATGAGGTGGCACGGAAACTCTGATGGGCACTGATAGGTTGCACTGCATGATGATGGTGCACTGATATGCAGCAATGATGGGCGCTGATGGGCAGCACTGCTGGGCGCAACTGCTGGGCAGCACTGCAGCAGGGCGATCAGTGCTGATCTGCTCTGTGACAGTTACTGGTTATCAGCAGTACTTTCCTCACACTGTAACAGCATGATCCTCACACAGCACTATGTAAGGAGGTGCTCGGAGCCTCGGGTAGAACGGGAGGATATACGAGCTTTGTGGGCGGAGATAGAAGAAGGCCCGGAGAAAGTCTGAAAGGAGCTAAGAGACCTCCTAGTGGGAAAAGGGATAACTCCATCCATCCATCCACCCACATTCAGAAAAGGATTTCTTGATAACGGCGAGACCCCCTGCTGGAAAAAGGAAAAACTTCATTTATCCATCCATCCATCTGGGATACAGGGATTTATCCATCTGTTCAATTCTGAGCCCAATTTAAGGGACACAAGCTTGTACGACCTCACTTAACGGTTTGGTCATATACATCAGGTTAGAGCACAACTGGTGAAGGAGCATAGTATCTATATATACATTTGGTGGATTATACTTTATACCACTTTTTGCATTATACTAGTGAAGACACTACAAGATCACGGATTGTTTTGAGGATTGTTTTGAGGATTCCTTCTCAGGAGATTGATAATATCATGTTAAGAAAATTTGCCAGGACTCAGTTTATTGTTTTGCACAAATTGTTTTGTATGTATATTAATAGTGGAGTGCGGCACAAGCATTCAGAAATTCATTTTTTGCATTGGCCAGAATATTAATTTATTATGGCCACTGAAATGAATGAATGCTCAAGAACTAAATGCACCTAGAATTTAGGCATGTTTAGGTGTGCCAGGCATTTCTACCAAAACACGCCTCTACTGAAAGTGCAAGTGATGTTTTGTTTTTTGTTTTTTTTTCCCCCCTGCCTATAAATGCTCCTTTCTGTAAACACCTGTAAGCGCCTATGTGTGCATGGACACATAAGCTAACATAGAGGGGCATTTAGAGGCAGAAAAAGTCAAACGCCCTTAAAAGCAGTATATTTCAGTGTGTATGAGACCAAATAGCATCCAGAGAATGATAGTCAGTAATTTGTACTATGCCTGGCCCATGGTGCAGGCCAAGAACATTTCATCAAGTACAGAAAATACTTGTTGATCTTCCAGAAATACAGTGTCCTTGTCACTTCCAGTGAGCTGAACTGAAATCACAAATAATGTTCTCTCCCTTTTGGAAGCAACCCATCTCTCCACCATGTAATGGAAACAAAAAAAGAAAGGCCTGTCTAAAGCTCAAATATTGTAAAATGAACCCACGCCTGAACCCAACCAAATAATTAATTAGTGCTGCTGTTCATAGATGGAAAAACATTAATACATAAATTTGAATATAACCACAGCGCAGAAAATTTATTAAAAAATCCATAATATGATAATAAAAAATTGTCAGTAAAAAAATGTATATTTCATCGGTGAGACAAATATAAATATAAGTGAAAATATATGAAAAAAGTCCACTGTCCCAAATCAATGGTGAAGAAAAAGTGCTCCAATCAAAAAAAACAGTGCTAAAGGAAATCCAACGTGCCCACACCATCCGTGACTACCAATATGGCCTGCACTCACCAAATAGAATGGACTCCTAGCTGATAAGGCTTAAGAGTCAAACAAGCTTTTGAGGTAAGATGTGTCCTCCAAATGAATTCCAATCAGGGAGAGAAAATTCCTGCTTGACAATAGGATAATGGTGATCAATAATCTCATCAGTGAAGTTTATGCAAGGCTCTGGGATGGGAAACCATCTGACATCACCAAATTTGTGGCCCACTGTAACAAATTCCTAGCAACTCATAGTTCACTTATGGAGCCTTCCAGACAACATTCAGGTTTCCTCACCACTGATAGCAAAACAGCCATCCAGGCTGGGTGACAGCTGTGGCTTCCTCCATAGATACAGTGGAGTGAGTGCAGCAACCTTAAAGCGGAGTTCCACCCAAAAAAAGGGGAAGTTCCGCTTTAAAGATTGGTCCCCTTCTCCCCAGTAAGGATTGGCACCTTTTGGGGAGCGGGGGGGAACAGGTACCCTAATTTGACAGGTACCCGCTCCCACTTCCGCTGCGATTGCTTAGGCGATCGGAAACCTAAGTTGTCCTCCTACCCTCCCTCCCCGAAGTCTTGTGGGACACATGACAGGTCCCAGAAGACGACGGGGCCATTCAGGAAGCGCAGCGCTACTTGCGCATGTGCAGTGGGCACCCGGCTGTGAAGCCGCAAGCTGTCACAGCCATGTGCCCACACTGAAGATGTCAGCGCCTGGAATACAGGGCGGCCAGTGAAACAGGCTGTGGCGGGGGGCAATGCGGGATCGTGGGACAGGTGAGTGGCTGTTTTTTAAAAGTCAGCAGCTACAGTTTTTGTAGCTGCTGACTTTTATTTTTTTACAGAGTGAGTGGAACTCCGCTTTAAGTGAGGAAGTATGTTATTCAAAGGATTGCCATGTAAAAATTAGGAGAAAAAAGCCTGAGAAAAACAAATGCAGGCACTTCACTTAATGACTGCTGCTATATATAACATTTTTTTGGGTTTGGATAACTTATGCAATGGTTCTCTTGGTCACTAAAATTAGTTAATATAATAGTTAATGGAAAGGTTTCATATACATATACTGTATATGCTGTTTTAGGCTTAACACCCATCCATTTTTGTGTGATGTTACTGGGAGGGTGTTGTTTTAATTTTTAGGATGATAAAGGATGGGTGGAAGGCATCAGATGACTGTAAACCATTATCTTTCCTCTGACCCAGCTCATATTAAAACTCTGATAAGGTGATAACAATGTCACAGGCTAGGGTGGTAGTAGTGCATCTGACCGGATATGAGCAATGTTCCAGAGTACTGATGACAAAACATGGCAACCAGAACAAGGGTGTGCAGTAATCCACCAAAGTCAGTTGTATCTCATATCTCTGTATATCAGGGTTATAACAGGAGTATGGGGCTCAGGCTATGCAAGACACGGAGGGAGATTACTAAAGCTGACCATGCACAACTAGTAGATGTCTGTTCGAACTTCAGTATGAAAATTCTCTGTATGTTAATGATTTCATGAATATTGTTTAAAGTACTTCAACATTTTGTCTTTTGTTCACATTAAAACGAAAACCTAATTCACTGTTAGAAATTTGTCTTGTTCAAGAAAAATTTTCCATCCTGCTACTTTCAATTTTTTTATCACTGCAGTCAAAAACAAACCAGCCTGTCAGTTTAGGTGGACGGCCATGTCTTGGTAGGTTTGCAGTTGTACCATGCTCTTTCCATTTTTGGATGATGGAATAAACAGTGCTCCGTGAGATGTTCAAAGCTTGGGATATTTTTTTATAACCTATATTTTATAACCTATCCCTGCTTTAAACTTCTCTAAAACTTTATCCCTGACCTGTCTGGTGTGTTCCTTGGCTTTCATGATGCTGTTTGTTCACTAATGTTCTCTAATAAACCTCTGAGGGCTTCACAGAACAGCTGTATTTGTACTGAGATTACATTACACACAGACAGACTCTATTTACTAATCAGGTGACTTCTGAAGGCAATTGGTCCCACTAGATTTTAGTTAGGGGTATCAGAGTAAAGGGGGCTCAATACAAATGCACGGGACACTTTTCAGATATTTATTTATAAAAAAAATTTGAAAACCATTTATCATCACTTTCCTTCCACTTCCAATTATGTGCCACTTTGTGTTGGTCTATCATAAAATCCCCATAAAATACATTTACGTTTTTGGTTGTAATATGACAAAATGTGGAAAATTTCAAGGAGTATGAATACTCTCAAGACTCCGTAGATGCGGTAAAACACAGCAAAATGTGGCCAGGTGTGTTTTTGAGCCTTAAGCATTTTTCTAAGAAATGGAAATATATATATATATATATATATATATATATATATATATATGAAATATAATTTTCATTATACAGTAAATTTCTACATTTCCCAGTGTGCTCTGCTGCCCTTGCTTTCATTGTCTGACTTGTTGGCTCCATATAGAGGAAACATGAACATTTTCTCATCTGCGTGTAGCTCTCGTATGCAATTAGCATGGACAAATGCATATTTGTGCTCCATGCAGACAATACAGCTCTCAAAATGGTGACTGCAAAAAATTACACAATGTCCATTCAGGGATGCATTATGGGAAAGTGGGAGTTAAAAATAGCAAAGTGATTTTTTTTTTGCTAAAAAAAAAAGGTAACGCAGTAAAACACTGCAAAACGTAGGTTTTCAATGTGGCTTTCTACAGCTACTGGCATTTTTAAAACATCCTGCGTGCATGAGGCGTAAGACAGGAAGTTTTTAGTTTTTTTTAATTTCTGTGCTCCATATTATCACTGTTCACTAGTAAAAGAATCACTGGAAATATCTTTCTATGGAAATATCTAATATTGCATAGGACTATTTAAAGTGTTACTAAACCCAGGACCCTGCATTCACTCTATCTGATCTCCCACAGTACATGGAAGTGCAATGATTTTAGTAAATATGAATTGCTAAATACCTTTTCTCAAGAGCAGTTAGAGCAGTCTTGTGACTTCTATCAGTGTCCAGCAAAGCACTGGTTACAGCTTGTAAGAGGAGTTTTCACTCTGCTCTAGGAGGATGCTGGATCCCTGACCTCTGTCTGGACAGTGCTGAGTGGCCCTGTGCTGATCACATGCACTCTCCTAAGGAAAAAAAAAAACCTCTCTTGCATTACACACCAAACTGTGCAAGTGCAGCTTGCCCCCGAGCCTCTGTTCTATCAGGAGATATTTAGGAGACACTGGACGAAGGGGAGGATCAGAGAAGAGAGGATCAAACATCCTTTTTATACAATGTTAAGGATTAACCCCTTTAGGTTCCACAGTGAGCATAACAAGCATGCTTTACTGCATATACAGACAGATTTTACCATTGTGGGTTTAGTAACACATAACATTTCTAGTAAGCAGGAGTGATCAACACAAGTGATCACATTCATACATGACTATCTCCTCCAACACTCTATTTCACTTCACTGTTCTGTCTTTTGATTCTCTCGCTCTTCATTTCACGGCTGGATCAACCCACTTCATCAGGGTACTCTGTTTCCATTGCTTAGACCAGGTCCTACATCTCTTAGGTTAGACAAGCCTCAGGAAAAGAAGCCTCTTTAAGGGTGTTAGGCAGGAGAGATGGGAATAACAGTCTGATGTCGGGGGAATGCTAGAGGCTGATTGCCTCAGAGGATAATTCTAGAGATATCATGTCTAAGTACAAAAAATGATAACTTTTTTAATAAATTTGCATTACAAGATCAGCAACATCTACACGTGTAGGAGTGGATTTTCATGACTTGTACTGGTTTTGAAAGTGAATACAGTATTTGGTAAAAATGTTCTAGTCTAATAGGCAGCTCATGATGGAAACACTAGTCAACCCACGCTGTAAAATTTGTGTTAGCAATACCACCTATGCATTTTTTTCTCTAAGCATCGCCAGTGACTAGATGCCTCCAAAAAAAAAAAAAAAAATCCATTCTATTATAGGCAACAACAGCCAGAATTGCTCTTTTGTTAATCTGACTTAAAAAGGCAGAATATGTACATTTTATCATTGCAAAATGCTTTATTTTATTAGTCCATTTGTATGAAGAGACTCTGACTATTCCTCTATTTAATTCCGTTGTGTGTGAGGAAGTCCCTCTCTGCTTCTGGCTAAGTATTCTTTTGCATCACTGGGTTACCTAACTTGTGGGTTTCCTGCATCTTTGCTTGGTATTGAACATTTTTCTCTCTCAGATATGCAATGATGCTTGAATTCTAGGGGTTCCTCATCCACTCACTACATATTATAGACAATTTTTTAGTGCTTTAGATTTAAGCCAAACAGAATGGTTAATCTTCTATTTATTCCTAGCAACAATTTATTTGGAGGCGACTGATTACACTTTTTCATCTTAAAGCACATCCAAACTCAAAATCAAAACTGTTTATACGTTTCAGCTTACTGCTTCTTAGATGTGGTGGCTACATTAGTTTTTTTTTCTCTTTTTGGCTATATTTGCTTCTCTACTGTATCTATAGAAGAAGCCATGGTTTCCACTCAGACTGGACTACCAAATCTGCTTTGGTTTATCTCCATTACATACAATACAATTAGCAGTTTACGTAATGTTTTTTGTCTTCAGCACAACTCGTAGAAAGTGACAAGGAAATTGCATTTCTTGCAAGTTCAACAAGTATTTTCAGTACTTGCTGAAAACAGAAAACAAGTGCAGCCACCACATGTAAGGGTTGCTAAGCTGCAATATATTACATTTTTGTTCTTTGGTTTAGTTGTGCTCTAAAGCACGGATGTCAAATTGGCGGCCCTCCAGCTGTTGCCAAACTACAAGTCCCATGAAGCATTGCAGATTGACAGCCACAAGCATGACCCCCAAAGGCAGAGGCATGATGGGACTTGTAGTTTTGCAACATCTGGAGGGCTGCCTTTGACATGAACATTTTTACAGCTGCTGTTTTTGGCTTTTGACTTTTTTTCTACAGCTAGTAAACCCCCCAGCATGTTGTCCTATGTGTCCATGCACACAGACTGTAATCAGTGTTTTTTGGCAGGGGCGTTTATCGGCTGGAAAAAAAACCCAGGACTAGTGTGTTTCTAGAGGTGTTATTTAGCTGTAAAAACACTCTAACGCTGAAAAACGCAGCAAAACACAGCAAACTGGCGTTTTTTTTGGACTTTTTTGGGGGTTAAAAAAAACTCTAAAAAAAAACGAATGCAAAAACGCTAAAAAACCCTGAAAAACTCACGTATTTAACGTGATTTTACACAGCTAACGTTACCAGCGTTATTAAAACGCCCCGTGTGCATGGAGCCTAACATGTCCCAGCAATTGTTCCCCCTCACCTCCCTCACCTATCAAACACCCCCCACCTCTGTCGGCTCCATCCCCACATGCAATGCTTTGGAGGCTCCTGGTAGAAAAATAATAAATGCAAATTTTTTTTCTGCAAAAATATGTGCATTCATAATTTTTTCCCTAAGGCTCCATGCATACTAGCATTTTTTTAAGCTAAGAAAAAACGCTGGAAGAAATGCTGGTTAAAAAAAAAAGCTGGTAATAGCGGTTTTTAGTGTGTTTTTGTAGCGTTAGCATTTTATTAGTGTTTTTACAGTACATGTAGAAAAAAAGCTAAAAAAAAAAGCTGTTAGGAGCGTTTTAGTAACATTTAGCGTTTTTTCTGCTGGAAAAACTAAAAAAACTCTACAAAAACAATTTTCTTTCTGTTCCTAGACACTGAAGCTCAAAAAATCTGAATAGCCTAAAGTAGTGTGCATGGACACATAGGATAACAGTATTTAGCTTCTAGGAGCAGAAACAAAAACAGAATGGAATTTTCCATATTTTCTCATTGAAACTGTTATCATATAGAATTATATATGAATATACCATGTGACCAGGGGCGGACTGACAACTCATGGGGCCCCCGGGCAATAGGGGATCATGGGACCCTGTGTCCTTGCCCAAACTCAAAAAAGCCTATGAAAAAGGTACCAGGGGCATCTCATGGGGCCCCCTACTGACCCTGGGCCCTCGGGCAGTGCCCGAGTTTCCAAATGGTCAATCCGTCCCTGCATGTGATATCAAGCCATTGTCAGGAGAGGAAAATAATTTGACAGGCAGTGTTTGACATGAGCTTGCTGATCTGGGATGCTGTCTTTGGGACACTGACTCCTTCTCCACATTCTCTTATAGCTCTATGGGAGGACCGTGGCCATCTTCACTTGCAGATGTGGTGGAGGACTGTATATCTGGGCGTGCAGGGGTTGCTGTTGATGCTACCTCTTTTTTATTTCCTCTGTGTCTAGGGAAACCTGCTTTTCTGTCATGCTGGTGTACAACGTTAATTGTCATACTGGTCATTCTTCACCTTTACCAGCTCACACTACCTTTCCCTTATGGACACCTGTTGTTCAGGAGTACTCTGCACTTTGATACTTTTCTGCTTATTTACGGAGTAATCTAGCTATCCCCCCGACTGTCTTCTGTGATTGTATGTAGGTGAACCCTCCTTCTACTACCAGTTTGGACTTCGTCGCTGAAAAAGTTCCAGTTTAGGGAATTAAACTGACCTAAGTTGTCTGTTGGGGTATTATGGTCAGTAGGGAGTTAATTATTGTTTTTCAACTGTACGCTCAATTTCTCTTACAGTTATGTGCTGCTCTATACATAACACCACGTATCTCCTTTATCATATTTGGATTTTGGCACTCTCCGGGTCTATGTGAGGAATTTTGGTGTCCACTTTGGGGTTATCCGGTTGTGATTTTCCCTGTTCTTTTTAGTTTGGAGTTGAAATTAATATTGTAGCATGTTAGGGGTCTGACAAATTTAAAAGAGCACTCATGTTTAAATATTTGAATCCTCACAAGCCTCATATCTTGCTCCTGCAAGAAACCTACCTCATGGGGAATAAAATACTAGCTTTACGCAGATCTTGGACCCAACATTCCTTTCACTCCAATTATTCCTGTTATGCTCAGGGAGTTGCCATTCTCCTAAATAAATCCTTAGCATATAAGATACTGACCCCTAATTACTGACCCTCTGGGCAGAGTTATTATATTGTTACTGGAAATTAGAGCTGTTGTGTTAGCTGTCGTCAACAATGTATATGTTCCTCCTCCCTTTACCCAGCAGGTCCTGTATACCATATATGACAATCTTGCTCCTCTCCAGTTTTACCAATTGTATATTGCAGGTGATTTCAACTCGACTGTTGATGCGCACTTAGATTGCTCTAACCCTCTCAGAGCATATAGCCCTGACTTACTTCATTGGGCTCAGGCTTTTGAATTTACTGAAATCTGGAGATGGAAACACCCCTCTACTAGAGCCTACTCCTGTTTCTCAGCCATGGTTAAATCAGCCTCCTTAGACCTTATTTTTGGAAATACTCGAGCCTTGTCATTGGTACGAGGAGTCTCCTATCTACCTGCAGGTCTATCAGAACATGCCCCTATAGAGCTCAGAGTTACCCTATCAACTGCCCCCCACTCTGGCTGTTGGCGTCTAACACACCGGTGGATACAGGACCCAAAGGTTGGGGAAGTGATCTCCCCTGCAGTGTCCCTTTTTGAGAACTGAACGATATCTGCTCCAGCTCCTACGGTATGGGATGCGTTAAAAGCGCATGTCCGAGGGGAATATATCTCAACCATCAAGATGGTTAGATGGGATCTGTACTCGGAGTTAAAAAAGTTGTAGGATAGTGAATCATTGGCGGCAGCAAATTTTTCTGCCTCCCCAACCTCTTCTACACATTTGGATCTCAGGTCCCTGGCGGGCAGGTTTTTTGAGTCTGGGGACAAAAATGGAAACTTGCTAGCTAATCTGGTGGCAGATTCTAGGGCTCATACGGTTATCTCCACTATTACCTGTGCACAGTGGCGGACTGACAACTCATGGGGCCCCCGGGCAATAGGGGATCATGGGGCCCCTGTGTCCTTGCCCGAACTCAAAAAAGCCTATGAAAAAGGTACCAGGGGCATCTCATGGGGCCCCCTACTGACCCCGGGCCCTCAGGCAGTGCCCGAGTTTCCAATTTAATTTTAAAGATATTAATCTGACCCATTAAAGTCAGTGGAAGACTATCCCAGGCCCTCAATTTAATTTTCATATTATTTAACAGTGCGACCAACTTCAATACACAATAATCAGAAGGGGAAGAGGAGATCGTAATGCTTAAATATTTGATTGGCCCTTACCAAAGGTATATTAGGGTTAGCCTTTTTGCTGGCGTCAGGGTCAATAGGCAGGATTTGTGATTTTCACCAATTAACCTGTAACCCCGAGTAGGCAGAGAACTCTGAGATAATCTTAAGGGCCTCCTGACGGGAGGGGCCCGGGTCATTAAGGAATAAAATGAACTGCAGATGGCACTATGACTTCTGACCCTAACCGCATCTTACAGGAATTCACTGATTATTATGGTGGTCTTTATGGTACCAGTTCTAGTGTGGTTGGATCGGAAATTTACGATTTGTCGGCTCTGGATCTCTCTCAGGAGGGGGCTACGGAGCTTGACAAAGACTTCACGGTTGAAGAAATTGAGTCAGCTATACGATCTTTCCCAGATAACAAGACTCCTGGTCTGTACGGTATACCACGGAATGGTATAGGATGTATGCTGCTATACACTGGCACTTAGACTTCTTCAACTCTACTTGGTGCGTAGATCACAATTGACACTGCCCCCTTCAATGCATCAGGCCCATGTAATTTATTGCCTAAATCCGGCAAGGACCGGTCTTAATGTGCCTCCTATAGACCGATTTCCTTTCTCAATTATGATTTTAAGAGCCTAACTATACTATTGGCCACCAGACTCATGAAACTTTTGTCTTCCCTAGTCAGCATTGATCATACCCGTTTTATCCCTGAGAAATTGTGAATTTGGGCAGGGTCTTTACTCATTTTCAGCTACCCCCCCTGGGGCTCTGTTCGCTCTCATTATGGAGCCTCTAGCTGCGGCTCTCAGATGTTCCCCAGCAGTGAAGGGTATTCGGGTCGGAGTTCTGGATTAAAAATTGGCGATGTATGCTGATGACCTCATTTTATTCCTTAATGACCCGGGCCCCTCCCGTCAGGAGGCCCTTAAGATTATCTCAGAGTTCTCTGCCTACTCGGGGTTACAGGTTAATTGGTGAAAATCACAAATCCTGCCTATTGACCCTGACGCCAGCAAAAAGGCTAACCCTAATATACCTTTGGTAAGGGCCAATCAAATATTTAAGCATTACGATCTCCTCTTCCCCTTCTGATTATTGTGTATTGAAGTTGGTCGCACTGTTAAATAATATGAAAATTAAATTGAGGGCCTGGGATAGTCTTCCACTGACTTTAATGGGTCAGATTAATATCTTTAAAATTAAATTGTTGCCTGGCTGTAGACACTTGCCTGTTTGGATCCCAAAAACATATTTTCATTTGGTTAATACCTGCCTCACTTCCTTTTTTTGGGTTTTGGAGCAGCTGAGATTCCATCTGTCGACGCTGCAGAGACCCTGGCAACAGGGAGGCCTTGCATGCCCTGACTTATTTAAATATTATCTAGCGGCTAGGCTTACACATGCTCATAATTGGATCATTGCAGATGACTCTAATGCAGCAGTAGTATTGGAAGCCTCCTGCTTGAGCTCCTATGAGGCGTTGAGGAATCTTGTGTACTGGGGCCCAACGGCTCCTCTTCCATTGACCGGGGCAATGAAAACAGTTTTTACAGGCATGGTCTATAGCTCATACGGATCAACGGGTTCCTCTGGGAATTTTGCTTTCAACACACCCCTCTATGGTGCAACCCTAGGTTGCCTTAATTTGCTATGATCCCTGACCCTCATGTCTGGGCAGTGAAGGTCATTAGGTACATTGACCAAATCTGTTCGGGAGGGGAGTTACGCACATTTGACAGCCTGAAACAACAATATGATCTCCCAAATACTTATTTGTTTAAATATTTAGAACTTAGACACGCTTTTCATACTCAGTTTCCGGTAACACCTGCTGTTTTATGTGGACCTGATTTGGAGAGTTTGCTCAGAGATGACGCTTTGGGCAGACCTCTATCCAATATATACAAAGAATTGCTTCCATCTGTCCATAAGAAATTTGAGACACTTAAAACTAAGTGGCTAGTTAATTTTCTGGACCTGGATGAGGATTGAGAAGATGTATGGGAATGTTCCTTTCAACATCTGGTCTCCATTAAAGACAGGCTGCTACAGTTTAAAATTCTACACTGTATTCATCTCACCCCTACACGTCTCCATAGAATATATTCCTTAGTTCCTGCTGACTGCTACAGATGTGGGGCGCCCTCAGCTGATTTCATTCATATTTTATGGCAGTGTCCACATATTCAGCTTTTTTGGAGATCAGTGGTGGCCTGTATCTTCTTGGTTACTACCTTTCAAGTACATCAGTGGATGTATGTCTGTTGGGGCTAGTCGACTTTCTGATACACAGTAGGGTTTCCAGAACCTTGTTAGGAATTTTATTGTTTTATGCTAGAAAAGCCATCGTGTTTCAGTGGAAGTCTCCGCTTGCCTCCTCCTCTAATTCCTGGAAGAGGATACTTAACTCTATTTCATTGTATAAATCCACCTATCTCTCAAGGGGATGTCCTCATAAATTCCACAAGGTTTGGGATATTTGGGTGGACTTGCCAGACACGAATGAGGAAGCTTTGAAATTTAACTGTTTTCCTTTATGATCTCATGGAAATCTTGCTGGTTATGTTATTAATGCTGGTATAACAGCCCTGGAGTTGTCATCTCTGTTAGCTTCCTAAAAGGCATATTTTTTACAGAGTTTTTTGGTGTCTAGAACTGTCTTGAACTTAACATGAGAATGAGCGTACAGTTGACTTGTTACTGTTTTTTTCTTTTGTTAATAAGTTTGTAACCTTGTCAAGTGAGGTGTCACAGTCTGGGTCAGGTTCAGAGACCAGTTGCTACAGCATTGTAAGGCTTACCTGAAACCAGCAGGATAGGTACACCAGCGGATCACCCTGGGAATGACACAGGCTCACCTGAGCTGCGGGGTCTAAGTGTTCACCGGTCTTCACCACAGCTCC